AGAGGCCCTTCGGATTAGATATTGTTTAATATGTCAAATATGAATAAATTTATCAAACACTATACTTTTCAAATGAATGTAATACATGTATTGCAGACTGTACGAGACAGATATAATAGTGAAATAAATCCAGGTGAGATTCTACGTTTCTTTTGTCATTTTCATAAGTAACAATACATTATTAAATACGAAGCTGTTTCTTTGTTTGATGGTAAGATAGTATGTAAAAATTAGGCCATGAGTAGTCTGTTTAGAAACCATATGTCACACATGTATATAAATATTATAAACGGTAGATACTTTGCAAATAATCATTCTGTTTTAACTATTGCGATGATATAAAAAATAACCCGTTTAACTCGTTTTAATACGTTTAAACAGAAATAAGAACATATGATCCAAAGGCATTTAACTGTCGAGCAACAGAACAAAATATGGCTGTATCCAGATTTTGTTTAAGACAGAACCGGAAAGCAGGTAATGCCTTATTTTATTTAACTGTCATCTTTGGAACGAATGTCACATTTACTATTTGAAACAATAATATAAAAAAAAACAAAGTAAAGGTTTAATTCAGATATTATTTACATACTGTATTGTTTTTTCTACACAAATATCAAGTAAAGGCTATACACTTATATATCATCTAAATAATGTCGATTTAACAACGGATTACATTTTAACGCACTTCACACTATTCTAAATCAAACAGATAGGGCAATCATACTAAATAAAGTATGCCGGTATATAACGGACACGTGACTAAATGATAACAAGTCTCCTTTTAAAACGCCGAAATGTCATTTAAAACGACTAAGTCATCTCTTCACACCGATTTATATACGAATAAATGCGTCTTTAGACTGTAGTGAGTTAAAAGCTATATTATGTACAGGACAAAAGAATGAATGCTCACGCGTTATATTACTTCAGGAAAATGATGTAGTTCAACATATTTCTATCAATGTCTTTTTTATACAAACATGTTAGAATGAAAAGATATATTAAATTTTCATGCATTATAGTATAATATTTCAAGGTTTACCGTTCAAATGCTTTGTATTGTAATTAATCACCGATGCATATTGGCCTTCGTGATTATATTCTTACGCATTTGAACACGAACAGTTCAATATTCAATAACAAAAATCTTGAAGTTGATATCTATTCTCTAAACATTACTGTATTCCTTCATCGCGTCGGGGAAATGAACGTTTAACATCCGTGTGACGCACGTTAATCACACGCTAGATGTGTCAACCTCATTCAAAAACGTTCAAAGATGGAACAATTTAAACATTCAGAGAGTGTTGAACAAAACCGAACGTCACGGTGTGACGGACCTTAACATCCGTGTAGCAGACGAGGATTTTCACCACTTAAATGTTTTAAGAAACTAATCGTCAGAGCTGGACGGCATTATTGCTTAAATGTTGAGAAGCTACAATGTTTGATATACAGTAAAAAAAAATTGAAAACCTGACTATCCCCGTACTATTAGTCCGGTTGTTTAATTTTACAGGATTCTGGTTTTCACAAGTTAAATACGACATCAGTTTTTGTTCAAACATTTACTATTCAAACCTTTTACTTTGTTGCATCAATCAAATGACACAACTGTGTTAGCATTACTTTTTTGGCCTGAAAAATACCTACTAAATACAGTTATGTTACTTTTGTTTGCAGTTTCCACAGGTTTGGCTCACAAACTATTTTGGGAAAATAATCATAAATCAATGGAAAGCTCTGGATTAAGGTACTCGGAAGAAGATGGACAAGTCATTGTAGAGGGTCTAGAAGAAACAGAAAGTTACTATATTTCGTTGCAGCTAAAATTAAATATGAGCACAGCCACTGATATATTGGATGAAACAGTTAGGCACCGTGTGCATTTGCTATCTGATGACGCGTCGGCAGTTCTTCTTGAAGATGTAACGTCACCTTGCATAATGACGTCACATACTGCATCAGGAAAAACCAGCGTTGTTGGAGCTGTGTTCCGACTCAAATATGGTGATCAGTTATATGTGACAACAACCCATCCAGAAAACATAGTGTCTGATCCACACAGCAATTATTTCAGCATACATAAGTTATAAGTTGCAGTTATGTTGAATGTTGTCAAACGATCATAAACCAACTATTTAAAGTCTAAACATGTGAAGACTATTGATAAAGATCTAGATAAAGATCTACATAGATTCTAACTCTATGCTGTACAAATTTGTTAAAAATCATACTACACCATACAGTAAAATCTTAAAACAAATGGCGTTTTGTTTCCAAATTGATTTAATAAATAAACAAAAAGTCTCAAAAGCATATATATCTAATGATTGTTTTAATCTTGATTACACGGCCCACTAATGTTTATTACCAGGAATCTATTCACTAAACGCATATAATCTTAACGTTTTATTAACTTTGTTTCAAACAAGTCGCAAACACACTGTCAGCCCATTACATACAAAAACGTAAATGTTTCTTTGGTTACCTTGCTAAGGCATGCTTAGAATTAAATTGTGTACTCCTAACAAGACAGATGTTATTAAAGGAATGTCATGAATAAAAACAGAATATAAATCAATGTATGGTGAATGGGCATTGCCTTCGCTATGAATTGAATTTTATGGTTTTAAATGTTACAACATTCATTCGTCAGACACAAGTGAATATTTTGGAAACAATATGAAATACTTGTAGAGAGCCCTTAAAGACTTAGCTCATATGACATAAGGATATAATGTTGTTACACCAATAAAGCATATCAAAACTGTAAAATTAAAACAGTTTTAGTGACAACAACAAAAAAACGGACAAATAGTGTCATCACAATTATATTGTAGAACAAACAATATGAATATAATATGCTCTAATCGGTTGTGTTCATGAATACACATTCTGTTAAGATTTGAACTCGTTAGACATAGTATTTAGAAACGTGCAAAGTTTTCTATAAATAGAATGATACAGAGAAAATGTATTGTTTATGCTACGAAGCCCAGAAGAATATTAATGTTTTGTTAGTGCCCTCCCTACGCAGAGATAAGATAAAACATAAATTAATTTTGAAATTTAATTGCTCGATAATAATATTTTCCCTTTTGATTGTCTTCAGATATATATATTCCCCTACGTGTTAGTTAATTCACTGTTTAACAAAGAAGAAACTGATAAAAGGACTAAACAAAATGCCCTTTCCAGTATGCTGACGAGCATGTTTGTATATATAATTGCGTATTACATGTAAATCTCTATTCTGACAATATTTGACCATAGTGTCTGACAATATTCGACCATGTACACAATGGTCAGATTACTGTTTTGTAACATGTCCAGCGGGTTGGTAAAAAAGTGAAAGGAAAATCTTAAGTGAAGTTTCATAAGTCTCTAGGATAATTTTTAACTTCGGTATTTGTATTCTAAAACGTATATACGTTTTAGATAAGTACATGTTTATGCCAGTCCTTTGGTCAGCAGACATTTCAGTGAAAAAGGGAAGGGGAATGGTGGTCATCCTCATGGGACTTTCTGAAAAATTTGGTCGGTCAACCGTACATAACAAGATTATTTTTTATATGCCAGGCATATCTTTTTCCTAGACAAAATAAATCAGAATGAATACTCTATTTTAAAGGGATCATTTCTTATAATGTTAGTATATCTTAAAGACAATACAGCAGTCTGACAAAGTTTCGTTTATATTTAAATGACATTGTGTAAACGTGATAAAATGTACAACAGTTGCAAAATTGCGTGTTAATCTTTAATCTACAGCTAAAAATACAGCCAGGTAATCATTATACCTGGAATTTTAAAACTGGGTCGATATAAAGTATTTGAATAAACATGTAATGAAATATGATCGCACAGTGCCTAGATCCCCAACCAGTCTAATTCAAATTATCAGATTAGTGGGTACAGCAAGAATTTCACCACAACATATTTGTGAACAAGATAGCACAGGTCCATTTTTGTGATAAATTCTATTGTTATTCAATTAAAAGGTCAAAGTAGGTATCTATCAATTATAAATATATAGTATAACAACCTGTAACTTATAAAAGACATTTAAACGCATTACTCACCAGACAGGACCAGTGCCATAGGAGCTATGTCCCGATTCATTTCAATTTGAATTTTCAGATACGTTGATCACATTTCACCCTTAAATATTTCGTAACAAAAGGACACATAACAAAGCTTGTGGTTAAACTAATTGTTATCTAAACAAAAATCAAATTAGAGATTCATCAAAAACATCATTAACGCGATTTACAATAAATCATTATAGTCTGCACAATTTTGTTTCAAGAGATTGTTAAACTTAAAGTATTTGCAAAAAAGTAGGTTAAAAACATCTAGTGGTGTTACATATATTAAGATACTACACTATGATTATTTTATATGAATATCATCTGTTATCCTAAAAGTTTATGCTAAATTAGGGTACTTGTTTTTTAATGTTATATTTATGTAATAAAAATATGTAAAAGATAAATGTTGACTTATAGTAAAAATCATAAAAATGCAATTCATTTGTGCAAATTAGAAACGCATTTGTTTAAGACGTCCTAAACAGTGACAAATCAGAACTATTAGATATTTTGATAAATACTGATGAACACAAATAAAACATACAAAATGGAAATAGGGATTTGTGATGATAGTCAGTTATAAGTCATGATTTATGTGATATCGCACGTTAAAATTCAGAACTATCCACATTGTCTATCAAGTTACATGTTAATATTGATGTATGACTTATACATAGGTAGATCTTGATAACCTTTTGATTAAGCTGCAAACATCTGCATGATAAAAATGGATACATAGTTTGTTTTCGGACGTTTCACTCTCAGCACACATAAACTAATACAGTTTACCTACCAAATATATAATTCATGTATTTGCTTTCACAAATTCCGCTTCAGTAGACAATTTCGAAACCTTTATGTAAACTTTAAAAAAAATACGAATCATACCAAGCCTCTGTGTTAACAATTTGCGACAGGTAATTTAAATCAATCGGGTTTACCACACTATAATATTTTAGGTTTAATTTTGTATTGTGATTTTAAATGCTTTGTAAATTTAAATACGTTTAAATTGTGTTTGAGCTCGGACAAGAATGAGGAAATAAACGTTCGTGAAAAGTTATAAGGAAAAATGTACGATTTTAAGGTAATATATTGTAATGATCTGTTTGATAGTGTACAATTAATTTTATGATACAAAAACGATTTTTATCTCAGAGTTCAATAAAATTAGAAGCATAGCTACAAGATTATTTTATTATCATATACATAAAATACGAACGGATTAAAAAAATCACCATTGGCATGTGATAAAGAAAACAATGAATTTAACGTTCCCATGCCATCTTTTAAAATATGGAACCCAATTAAAGAAAATATAAAGAAGCTGAAGGAATGTAGTGTTGAGTCAAATTCAGAGCTAGATTTTATAAGCCTTAAGCTATCTATAAATTGTATAATAAAACATGTATACATTTTTAGATTGTGAATATGTGATATGTGCTGAACAATTAATATTGACTTTGGCGATTATAATAATTTCAGTACATTCTTCAGTAATTAATAAAACATGAAGTTATTTATTTCGATATCGGAAGTTACTAGTATCAAGTTTCATACTGAAATATCTACTGTGTATTTGCTGTTAAGGTGTATATAAAATAACTATATGTAAAAGAACTGCAGTTGGTTTAAAGACAAAAGTGGATTAAGATAAATACACTATTGTACAAAATGCCTGATTGTAAAAATTCTTAAAGCTATTTACCGCTGAGTTTCAGTTATTTCATAGTCTTCTGTCTTCTTTTTCTGCAGGTAACCTGCAAATTCTCGTTTTGTACAAAATATATCTCTATTAATATTCTCTTCTGCTGAAGTTTCCGCCGTTATCGGGACAGATACACTTGTCCATGCAGTGTCATGGAAAGTTGAGAAATCACAGTTTTCAAACCTCTTTTGATAAACCTTTTTTGCAACTTATTCCTGACAACCATAAAAGATAAACATAAAAGTTCGTTATATAACACACACGAGTATTGAATTGACACAGTGATTAAGACTTAGGATATCCATAATTCAGATTAGGTCCTACAAATAAAAAAATACATCTATTATGTATTTTTAGCGTGAAAGATGTATCATAACATGTATCATAGTCGCTGCTAAAGTACAAATGGACTTTCACGTAATACTTGTTGTATTATACTAAGTCAAATAGCAATAAGTTTGGCTCCAAGACAATAAAAAATGTGTTACCCACAACATAAACTATTCAGAGGTGATGACATAAATGTATCTTGTTCTATTGGACTGGAGTGTAGCGTTGTATATGAAATAATTTGTCATTAAAGTAACAAGCGTAAACAAAATGGCATTTGTTAAACGACTTGATATTGATATGCTAACTGATATGATAAAACTAAACAACTTGTCATAAAACCATATCCATGTTTGTTGAAAACGGAATAAATTAACATTAGAACAATAAAATAATATAATAAACCAAAGTTGTTTAGTTTAATAAATACAAGCTGTAGCAAAATTTATGTTTAGTATTATTTTATAGAATTATTTCGTTTATATCATCAATTTCGATTTTCAGTACAAAAGATATACCCTGAAAATACTTCTCAGCTTCGCTGTATGCGAAATTGTCACTCTTTCAGTACTTGTTACATACTGGCGAGAGCAAAAGGAAATAAGTTTGGCTCCAACACAACAGAAAAAGTGTTACCCACAACATAAATTGTTCAGAGGTGATGACAGAAACATTGCTTGTCCAGGAAAACGTATATTTGCAAAAGACAAATCAAAACAGAATTCATACTGCTGTGGAGATACGAGTGACGTTTTAAACATACTCCTGAATAAGGTTATTGACATAATATTCCTTTATATATCCCATATATCAATTAATGGATAAGATATAATGTAAATAAAATCATATCATAGGATACGTCTTTTGTATAGGGATTCGATTATTAATCAATGGTTAGCCAAACTATTAATGTTTATGCTACAAATAAGCTGTTTTTGGAAAGATGTATTCATGTTAATTGATAATTATTAAGAAATATACTTTGTAAACCTCTTTTTACTCATTGTATTATCGGTCAAAATAGATCAGTAATTGTTTTAGTCATTGCAAAGTATTTAACAAATCATCTACGGCGTTTCATTAAGGTTCAAGTTCTAAATTGTACATTTTGATAATTACTTAAATTGACATTATGCTTATTTTTTCGTTGTCAAGTTGAGCTTAACTTACTATATATTGAGAAAGGTTGAGTATTATAATTCAATGCTACTTAAATGCAATCTGTCTCATTAACAAAATTCATTTCAGACTGTTTTGGAAAGATTTGATAGCGATGTTAATCCAGGTAAGAGTCAAAGTATGATTCAATTTTTGTTTGTTTTAAGTTTATTTTTACAACTTTATTATCTAAAACGTCTAAGAAAACATATCTTGTACTACCATTAAAATTTTATTTCCAACAATTTACATTTTATAAATTACTGATAAACATTGCTGATAACATGTTTGTTCATAATCTTTTATCTCTGTTTATGATGCTCTATTTAAAACCAAAGAGTTAATGTTTTTAATTTATCATTTCACAGAATCGACTTCCTTTGACCTGACTGACTTTAATTGTTCATCGTCAAAACACCAAACACCAGCACTTACACTAACGGGGGCATGGCACAAGAAATCAAGTAATGGTATGTTGTAATTTCCAACGACTTCCATTACTAAATTTACTTTTACTGTGGCGTGTTCATTAGGCACCTCTACATTATCATAATATAGTTTTGAACGTCAGTTAAACGTTAATTTTTGTTCTTAAATAACATCGATAGGGGTATATTAAAGTTAATCATGATATCTTTATGAACTTTTTTTACGTAGTGTCCACTTTATATTGTTGTAATATGTACCCATTACAAGTGAGTAACATAGATAAACATATTTAGTTTTATGAATAAGAACATAACTGAATTGTATTGATTGTTTTTTCTGATTTCTTAAGGCACACATGATAAAATATCTTGGAAGAGTGATCAGTCGACTAGTGCAAAGGCCGTATTTATGTATCTGGAAAAGGAAAACTCAGTTTTGGTTGAGGAAACAGGTTTTTTCTACATTTTGTCCCAGCTGGAAATATCAGTCGACAAGAATTTTAATAACATTGGACATTCTGTGCAATTATTATCAGATAACAGTACAGTATCTATTTTGCTTGAAGACTTATTTTCGCCTTGTCAAATTGCATCAGATGCTTCTCAAGAGAAGACAAGTGTTATCGGAGCAGTTTTCCAACTTAATAAAGGAGACCGGGTCTATGTCACTACTTCTTACCCTGATAATATATCATTTAATTTAAAGAACAGTTTTTTCAGCATATACAAGTTGTAGATACCTTTACAAAACTTGAAGTGTTAAAATCTTAAAGTGATTCGGTCCATGATGGATAATACCATCTGTAATACTTTAAAGAACTATGTTGTCAAACCTTAAAACAGAGAGCAAAAGAAGTACGTATATATGCAAGTAGATCTTGTTGGTAATCTTACACATTTTTTTCAGGTCATATATATATATATATACTAGTATTTGAACTACGTAAATTTAGTGTTTCCATTATGGATTAATCCCAGTAGGATTATACTGTTAGACTTTAAACACGACTGTACGTTATAATATTTATTTGCCTTCTTTATATTTCTAATGGTTTTCTATGTGTTTCACTCAGTGCAAAAATTAGCATCTTAAATAAAACTTGGATTGATAATGATCAGATAAAATTATGTAAAAAAATAAAACAAAATAGCAATTGACATTACGCCGCCTGTCAATCAAATTGGCATATAATCTTAACGTTTTATTCACTTTTATTCAACTGTCAGCCATAACATACAAAAGCTAAAAGTTTCCTTGGTGTCCATGCCAAGGGATGATTGGACTTGCAATGAAATATGAACTTCTAACAAGATTGATGTTATTAAAGGAATGTCATGAATTTAACAGAACACAATGCAATTTATGGTGGGTTGACATTGCCTACGCTATGAAATAAATTGTGCAGTTTTAAAAGCATTAGTAGTCTTCATTCGTCAGACAATTGCTTTGGAATCAATATGAAATAGGAAAATAAAACATTAAAGACTTAGCTAAAATGACATAAGGCAATAAAGCATATCAAAACTGTAAAATTGAAACAATTTAAGATACAACAAAAACACGGACGAATAGTGTCATTACAATTATAATGTAAAACAAACAATATGAATATAATAAAATGCTTTATTCGGTTGTGTTAATGAATACATGTTATGTAAAATAAGCAAAGAATTGAACTCGTGAGACATAGTATTCAGAAACATGGAAATATTCTACAAAAAGAAGTGTACAGAGAAAATGTATTGTTTATACTGTGAAGCCCAGAAGAATATCAATCTTATTGTAAGTGTCATTATTCAGCAGAGATAAGATTAAACATTTAAAACCTCCCATTTTCAATTGCTTAAAGATCCTGTAACTCAATTGTTCTGGTTTTATATCATTAATGTAATGCTCAAATGAAGATTCATCAATAGTGTATGTTCCAAAAAGCATTATTTGTAAAGATATTGCCGAATTTACACTTCATGTTAATAAAGGGAGGTTATAAGAAATGTATTTTTTATAAAGTCTTAGTCATTTTTTTAAATAAGAAATGAGTGCATATATTTTAATGATTACATGTAATGTGGACAAATATTTGCCGTACATATTTAACATATTCTTCGTTGTTTAAAGCATAATTATATACATTTAAAAATTTCACTTAAATGTGGTAACAACCTTAATTACAACATAAAGGATCTTTAATAATACTTTTTTCCCTTTTGATTGTCTCGACATATATATATATATTTCTCTTCGTGTAAATTGATTCACTATTAAACAAACGACTTTACCGAAATTCTTTTTTCTAGTATGTTGACGAGACATGTCAGTATATAATTATGTATATAATTATGTACAAATCTCTATTCTGACAATTCTCGACCATGTAAAAAATTGTCAGATAACTGACCTGTAACATGGCTAGCGATGGAAAAAAGGGATTCAATGGGACATCAAGTGATTCAAGGAATTAAGAAACTAACACTTAACTGTTTTCCTTAAACAGTTAACTATTTCATAAGACTCTAGGATAGTTTTTCATTTGGATATATTCATTCTAAAAATTATATGCATTATAATTAAGAACATGTTTTTGCCAGTCCTGAGATCAGAAGAAAATTTTAAATAAAAGGGGAGTGGGGGAATGGGAGGTGGGTAGGGGTCATCCTCTTTTGGGACTTTTGTGAAACATTTGGTCAGTCAACCCTATTATAACAAGATCATTTTTGTGTGTAAGGCATAATATTCTCCAACAAAAGTTACATCTTAAGCATGAATACTCAATTTTAAACGGGCCATTTTTTATAATGTAAGTATATGGGAAAGTCAATACAACAGTCTGACCATTTTTCGTTTATATTTTGATAGGTAATGTAAACGCGATGTTTTTTTGTGGTGATAATCTTTCAATCAGCAGCTAAAAATAGAAACAAGTAGTCGTAACAACTGGAAGTTTAAAACTTTGTCAACATAAAGTATTTAAATAAACATTAAATGAAATCTGATCGTACATTTATTATCAGATAACAGTACAGCAACTGTTCTCTCATTGAATATATACAATTAGAGACGACAAGCGTCATGTGAGCCCGATTTCAGGCCAACGAAGTTGATCGGTTTGATGTGATTTACATTCCACGCTTATTCATAGATTCTTACATGACCCTTACCATATCAATTTGAATAATCAGATTAGTGTTTTACAATAAAAATTTAACCACAAAATATTTCTTAACGCAAGAACGCATGACAGTTTGTTGTTAAATTTAACCTATTGATATTAAAACAAAAGATCAGATTTGGGTGACAGATCACATTGTTTTACATAATTTACAAAATAATCATTTTAGCCTGTACAAGTGTTTTAAATAAATATCTTAAAACTTTAAGTGTTTGCATACAACTAGATCAACACCTCTAGCGTGGTAACATATAAGACTCTATCAATAGTATACTTTTATTATTGTTTGTGTTCTTAAAAGTATATCCTTAATGCTGATACCTGTATTTTTATGTTATCATTTGTTTAATAAAAAAGTGTTTAACATATATCATACGTATGTTAAAAATAAATGTTGACTTACAGGAAAGTTGACTTACAGGAAAGTTTTTTAAAAAATCAATTAAGTATTGCAAATTTGAAACGCTTCTTTTAAGAAAAAAGAAGTCCTCGACATTGACAAATCAAAACTGTTACTGGAGTGTATTCTTTTGGCTCGCTTTTACTTTGTACATTCATAAGACTTTGTCTGTAAAAGAAAATGAAAATAGTTTTTAAGCAAGGAGAAAAAATATCAGTTTAGATTGTCATTTGGTTAAAATGATTTCTTTTTTAGAAGTGCACCGATTAAATAAAATTTAGCGTGTTTATTTGATGAACTTTGTTATCTATTAAGAATATAAAAAAAAATGCTACGGTCATTGTCACATACAAAAATGTGTAATATTCAGTTATTCACATCATATGAATTATTTGTATACGGCTGAAACAACTTTTGTACTGCTACGGAGTGATCTCCCCTTTCCAGACTAAAACATAAATACATAAAGGTGAATTCATGAAGTTGAAATCGTGAATTCATTAAGTTGAAATCGTGAGTTCGTGAAGTCGAAATTGTGAATTCGTGAAATTGAAATGGTGAATTCACATATTCCGTATGTTGTAAACGTGAACTCACGAACTTAAATTTGTGAATTCGTGGAGACGAAATTAGGAATTCAAGAAGTTGAAATTGCCCGTCTAGTCTCTCGTACATTTAAAACTGTAATTTCAGTGTATTGATTATTTGTCCAAAGCCAAGTCTTGGAACGGAACTTTACAAGTTGCCTTTATACCAAAAGGATTTGTGCAAATAAGCACATACATGGCTAGATTGTAATATAACTTAGCAAAAATGTTTTCCATGCTGAGTTGAGTTGTCTCTTGCAAAATGAAGTTTAAGGTCACAGGAGGTCAAAGGTCAAATAAAAATATTAATATTTGTTTGTTGGCACTGTATCTTGCTCATTCTTTAAAGGATTACACAATAATTTTGTACAAATAATCATCATGATGGGATTGTGTGTCGCACACAGAACAAAGGTCCGCCGTAAAACAGTATATGCTATGATTTCTAATATCATGTTTTACTTTTCATTCTGCAACTTTTATATGTTGATATATACATTTTTTAGTTTATTTTTGTTCTAAAAGTAGGAATAGTAGGAAAACAGTAGGAGTATGACAAACAAGTATGAAAGAAGCCAAAAGTAGGACTAATTTCAAGCCTGTATAATAAAAGTACCACAATGGCTTTAATCTTTGACCTAAAATGATATTAAATAAAAAGGCCATCTAATGGGCTTTTATCTTTTTTTTATTTATTTTTCTAAAAATAATATATATATAATATCCAATCCATAAAGGAAATCAAACCAGTATTTTTTTCATAAAATTTCAAGTCCCATAGCAAAAATACCACAACAACACAATTTATTACATGCACTTCTCAAGGTATTGAATGAACATACTAACGGATGGGAGGCGTTGTAATATAATGGTAGATCAACTTCTCATGTGTTGATGTTTTATTTAAAGTTATTTTTTAAATATGTAATTAATAACAGAAAAACACATTATTAAATGATAAAACCTTAACTGAATAAATAGAATATCCAAAACGAGTATTCGTTACTATTGGTTATTTGATAGAATTTTAAGTTTTTGTGCAATAACTTATCTAATTATTATATTTAACCGTTGTGAGAAAATTATTGATGAAATATTGAATAAGAATGTACTGTTATGAGGAAGTCCCCGTCGCTACAGAAAAACACAGACAAATTTGTGCTTACAGTTGGTTTATCGAACCAAATATTAGGCGTATAATAAGAAAACTGGAAATATTGTATATATTTTCAGATAGATATGAAAAACTACTCTTATATATCGTTTTGTTATCAAAAATAAACTAATCGAATATCTCGTTTAAAACTACTGATACTGTATTCGTTTGCATGTGCAGATCAGGTTGACGGTTGAATTTGCAGCAACAAATACCTAAATAACTTCCTCAATACTATAAAATTTAGTATTTTATTTTGACGATCATACACAATTATGAGTTCTGATCAGCAGCACAATACAATTCATCAAGAAATTACAATAGACAAGAAATATTTGAAGACAAACATGCTCATATCCACTATCGTTTTCGCTTTCGTCGGCCATTAGTCCGTATCGCATACTATATTATAATAGTATAATACATTAATTGACACTGTTGTTTTAATTGACACTGTGATTTTCATAATAATGATTAACATACAAACACAAAACTTAATATTTCATCAATATTGAATAAGAATGTACTGTTATGAGGAAGTCCCCGTCGCTACAGAAAAACACAGACAAATTTGTGCTTACAGTTGGTTTATCGAACCAAATATTAGGCGTATAATAAGAAAACTGGAAATATTGTATATATTTTCAGATAGATATGAAAAACTACTCTTGTATATCGTTTTGTTATCAAAAATAAACTAATCGAATATCTCGTTTAAAACTACTGATACTGTATTCGTTTGCATGTGCAGATCAGGTTGACGGTTGAATTTGCAGCAACAAATACCTAAATAACTTCCTCAATACTATAAAATTTAGTATTTTATTTTGACAATCATACACAATTATGAGTTCTGATCAGCAGCACAATACAATTCATCAAGAAATTACAATAGACAAGAAATATTTGAAGACAAACATGCTCATATCCACTATCGTTTTCGCTTTCGTCGGCCATTAGTCCGTATCGCATGATTTCACCTCTATTAAAGGAGTATCGCACTGCTATACGTTCGACCCCCTAACTCTGGTCAGACTGATATTGTTTCTTAATTATTACAGACTGGTTTTGAAAGATATAAAAGTAAAACTAATCCATTTGTTTACACAACATACATGTACATGAGTATAACTTTATTTTGTGATGATAACTATTTGATAGTAAGTATAAATACACATTTATGGCAATGACTTGTTTTGATTTAATTTGGTTTATAATAATAGATATATCTGTCAATATTTAGGGATTTTAGGATATTAAGGGAAATAAAGATATTGACCCAGATAGAATAAGTGTCATATGACCTGAGAAATCTTAGTTTTTCTTACGCCTGGCTACTTTGTTGAGTCAAAACACTTTTATATCCATTGGTTACGCCGTACTATGTCATAAAAACTAATGATTAATTAATGTAGCCTTACATTGGATATTTAAAAATAACAACTATACATGCCCTAGCAAAACGATTTTTATACCGCCAGTAAACTTACAATGATATCGAATAAGCATGAACAATGTAAACGACGCTAAAACATCGGAAAAAGAGATTAAAGGAACATTGAGTTTTAAGGTAATCCAATTTTATTGTATCATTTTCACCGTTTTTCGATGCGTATTTTTACATTAAACGAAAGTAGTTAATTGATGTATTTTACATTTTAGAAATACCATTTACGTTGCTACAATGATTTCAAAATTATAATTGATTTTTTTTTAATTTATGTTATTTAGTTGAATAAGTCTTTGTGAAACGAAAAAAGTTGTTTTCATTAAAATGAAGCTTATTATCATATCAAGATATATAATTATAATGTTGATATATAAAAGAATAAACATGTTTTGGACTGTACATAATATCATATGAATAGAGGAGCATTAAAATATATTAACCATTGTATATGATGTACCATGAACAAATTTTGCAACACTCACAAGAGACTGCAAAATACATATTTCGTATAATATACATACAACACATACAGATCACGTGATAAGCGATACGTATGATAAATGATTTTAACTGGCAGAAGCTTTTGTATCAATTTTAAACATAAAGCTGCCAGGCCAATTGTTAGTATTTTGATCATTAGCAATGCTTATAGATATGATTTAATTGGAGTGCGTTGCATTTACCTCAAATAAACTTTACAAAATACGCATATCAGATATTGAATAATTTATTGAATATTTCTTTAATAAATAAGGAAAACATAATGTTCTTTTGTTAAAATGCATAATGCATTCATGGTACGAACTGTAAATTGGCTAAGAGAGATGGAACAAATAACATTAGTTATTGCTATTAAGAATTCAATGTAGTTAACAACTGAAAGAAAATATTATATGACTATCAATAACAGATAAAGGATATTAAATGAGTGTAGGGTTATAACTGAGTTGAACCAAATTATAAAATGCGTCCATAAAATCATTTCGCGTTAAGTCAACGTAATGCATAAGCGTGATACTCAAAGGTGAGGTGTGTTTTTCACCTGCACACCGTTTTCCACGCATCCATCTTGCGTACGTAAAAAGCAAATTATTTCGTCCTTTTTCCGTTTGAAATTTGAATTTGAAAAAATGTCAAAAGATAATCTTGTGCCGTATTACAGTTCAATTAGCAGTAGTGAAAATTCCGTGTACTTTTCCAATTGATGGAGTTTACCTATACTGCATTGAAAAAAGTAACACTTATACTAGTCTAGTATAAGTGTTACTTTTTTCAATGCAGTATAAGTAAACTCCAACAATTGGAAACTCTTACCGAATGTATATACCATGTTTGATCGTTCTTTACAGTTCGTTTCATATTATACGTATCACAATTTTACATATTATGCTTAATTTTATAACTGGCATGCAAAATTGGTTATATTATGATGCCACTTTATATGTATGATAAATTGATGATGCCCGTTCGTGCCTGAAAAATGCACGGAGGGGGACCTGAAGTCTTCCTCCACCAGTAAAGCTGGAACGTCGCCAGATGACTATACTGTGTCGGTGTGACGTAAAACCCAAATCAAACAAACAAACATATTGATTGTATTATATAGTGGTCATGCATTGTCGGGTGAACAATCAAGAAGCTGGAATGACATGTTCACGTTTTACTTTATAGGACATTTGATGATGTTGAGTAATTTGATTGACAAGATTTTGGCGTTGCATTATAAGTAACAATTTGATAATATTATATAATTATTTGGAATAACAATATAATAACAAGTATATGAAAATATATATTATGCATGGAATATTAAAAGTTAAGTTTACTGTAAGAGGTGTGTCATTGTAATGATGTTATGAAATAATGCATTTTTTTATTGTTACACATGAGTATATTAAATGACATAAAGACATTGATGATAATGATATTGATGCGTTCTGAGACTCTCTGATGAGACATATGTTTTATCCGTATATTGGTCTTCGTACCTTCGGGTTCGATTAAGACCTACAAGGTACGGAATGTTTTAAAATTTTAGATGCGCTACTTAAACAATAAAAACTGAAGTGCGATTGCTAACATCATTTTCAAAGTCTTTTCCTTCCAGAATCAACTGTGTTTTATGTTATTTAAATGCAATTATAATCTCAAATTGTGCTCATTTAAATTGTAAGAACAAAAATTCACGTGGTGCTAGTTTATATAACCATTTTTAAATGTAAGTGTATAATATTCTATGTTGTTAATATGTACGTCATGTAAACTTGAAAGTAGATGTATGCATATATGTATGCTATATGAGCGTGTGTGTGTGCTTATGAATATCTTTTAATGTACATTATTGAAAGTTCGCTTTAGTACACTTTTTGTATTCTAAAGTGGTCCTACCTCATCACAAGAATAGCATCTTGTTGCTTCAGTCACATTTGATATATCGTATTCACATTCTTGCTCTTGCTTTCCTCCCTTTTTACTTTTCAATCCAATGCCACACTGTTCCTTATACTAGTCAGCATGTGGACTGTCGTGTATTCTGAGTATGTCAAATGCTTGCTCATCCGATTATTACCCTTTGAAAATGGTTAGCTCTCAGTATCTTTTTGACTTTACCTAAAGCACAACACTATTCAAAGTGAACTGATACTACAGGACATGGACGGTAGCTTGCATTACACGCTACCGTATTTTTACCAAAAAGAAAAACACAGATTCCCTAAAGAAAGCCCACACGAATACTAGTATGTTGCAGGCTCGGTTGATTAAGCCTGTTCATGGAAGGTACTGGAAATTGCAAGTTACCGTCCACGCCCCCTGGCCTCGGCTTAAGCAGAATTCAACATTTAACACGATAAAGGTAAAATTTTGAATTTAGAAACATCCGCAGATGTGTGCATATGGCGGTTTATTATGGAATCTTCTACGTGACACATAAGTGCCATTCATTGAAAAGCGGAGCATGGTCCCCAAGTAAACGATTGCGTTTGCCCTTAACGAGGAAACAATCGGTGAAACTTAATATATAGAATTTTGAGGGGGGATCAGAGGATACGAAACCTGCATATCACAGACAAAACGTCAAAACACAAATTTAAAAAGCAGGCAAAATATCCTGATGATGTTTAAACAGTGTTCAAGACGGAATTCCGGAACCACCCACGTTTGAAAAGGCCAAATCGAAGAATCTAAAATTCCACATAACATGTGTAACCAACAATTATGTCGTGCGGAATTATGTTCTAGGATCGAAAATATTACATCTTTGAGATTAAATATACGGGGCGACTTTTTAAAGCCGCCACACGGCACAAATAACACTGATGTGACAATAAAGTAAAGAAAACCAGAATCCCTAAAGAAAGCGGAAAACGTTACGTTTTTAGTTTTAAATTTATGGGTGACTTTTCAACTTTTTAATCTTAATATTTTATGAATAATGGCTTTTATTTTATTTGATTTATAACTGTTCACTAATGTGTTTTCGGTACAATTATTTAAATTTTTACGCTTAAAATTAAGCATGTCAACATTTTTATGCTATTGCGATCATATATATGACCGATAGATTTACCTATGATCTTCACTCGCAGATAACTGTAAGGAATCTGCAAAACGATCTGCAAGGAATTTTTCAAAAGTGTAAAGTAAATGTTTATTTCGTGCAAATTGCACTTGAAAAAACAATCAAACTGTTCCATATCAAAACTATTCAGACTATATGAATAAGAGAGATGTTTAAATTTGAAATAGTTCAAAAATAAAAAGTTGATATGGAAAATTGTTGGTATGGAAGACAATGGTTGCTCTGGAAAGATAATTGTTGATATGTTAGTCACTTGTTCTTATTAAAATCATTGGTTGCTATGGAAGTTACAGGATATTACTGAAATTAAATGATTGCTCTGGAAAGTCAGCGGTTGCTAGGGATAGTCAATAGTTGCTCGGGACGTCTCTGGTTGGTACGAAACGTCAATGGTTGTTAAGGGAAGTCGGTTATTGCTATAGAAGTCACTGGTGGCAAACGAAAGTCAACGCTTGCTATATAATTCATTCGTTGCTATGGAAAGTAAACGGTTGATTTGGGAGTCCTATTTTTCCTGAGATAATTTAGCATTTGTTTTGGAAGTCACTGATTGTTTATGAGATACAATGGTTGCTTATGATAAGGGCCGCTTTAAAATGAACTGGATGTCAAGGAAAGTCAATGGTTACTCCGGAAGTAACTTGTTGCAAGACTCAATGTTAGCCCTAAGGCTTTAATTAAAATATATATGCACGGTTGTGCAATACCATTTTTTACGGGATAAGATGAGTATATACATGTATATATGTCAAGAAAACTCATCGCTGGGTGGAAAATATTTTGACCAGTATGTTATAATCTGAAAAACTTAGTACAGACCACCCAAAAATGATATTTTATGAAATATTTTGCATTTATGTTACTTAATACAATGAACATAATATGACCTTTATAAATTGATTAAGTTTTAAATGATATAACAAGCCTGGTCGGCATAAGACCTCTATGACCTTTATTCATGCGTTATTTGCAATATCCTGCATTACTGGATATGCAAGATTTATTTTGACTTTAATTGTAAAAAAAACATATTCTAATTTCTACTGTCAATGAGTGATCAATGTACCTTCTTTGATATACAGTTGTTGTGTTGAATAAAAAAACGTTAACCGTTTTAAATGTGTCTCTAAGTTAATGTAATTTTGGTTAAAGGGTGCTTTTCTTGTTTAAAAGTGGTATTGATTTATCAAGTAAATTACCGTAATGTCAAGTTGAAGTATGCAAAATGTTATCCATTGGTGAATTTTGAAAGAGGAAATTATGTTATTGTCGTTATTGTCAACCGTATAACATATCTGGAAGGGAAATGGTCAAACCCGTGTTTAAAATGGATTGAATAGGTATCATTGTATACAATGATATTTTCAAAGATAAAAAGAAACAATCATTTTGCTTGTATTGTTTGCTGGCTGATTGTAATTACTTGCTCTTAACAATAATCAATAGGAAACCATTTTCATAAGCCATTAGGATGATAGTAGAGATTATTTAGAGTTTACTTTCCTTTACTCTTAAAAAACACAACTATTTCCAAGCTTTTCTCCAGAAAACAATTCAATTGCGCATAAACCATAGGGTAAAATTTTGATTTTTAAATGTTGAAAGTTTGCATAATAGTGTCCTTTAAGACATATAACTGTCTTATGTTGTCTTATAGTGACAGTTAGAGTGACCTTAATTACAATCTATGTAGTGTCTTATATTTGTTTTAAATCATTTTCATATTTTTAATAATTATACGACTTATTGTTAACAGGAAATTTAACAAAAAGGTTTACTGGGTATATGTTCACATTATTTAATACATTTAAATTCATTTCTAAAGGTATGACGCTTTTAGCACAAATCTCTTTTCCAATGAGAAAAAGGGAATATTTATCTTATGACACATATTTTTTCAAAGATATATATTCCATTAAAGTGATATCATGCCCCTCTAATAGTATATAGTGGATCAACATATGAAAGCCAAAATAAAATTACATTTTGCAATTTTATAATTAACTTTCAATGAACTATTGTTACCCAAATTTCCTAAGGGAATGTCTATATATACTGAAAGAAAAAAGAAACTTTCTCCAAGTTTGAATGTAGATATGTTAGTACAGTTTTTCAATCCTTTTGAAACTCAATTTTTACGTTGAATAAACATATCGGGCTTTTATACGGGGATTAGCTGACCGATTGTGCGAACTAAACGAGTTTTACAAGCTACAACATGTATATATGTGTGTACGTCTAAGTGGTACCCTTGAACAACTGGCACATACTTTGCGAACGTTTCTTTTTTGGTTCAGTATAGTATATAACGTTCAATTCATAAAAAAGAGAAGGGCAAATTTAATCAGATTACTAATTTATCCTAAACATTTTCCAGTAGAATGAAAATCGTTATGCTTATGAAATGTCATGATCATAATTTCTGACATTAAATACTAGTTCGGAAGACATCTGGTATTTTGTAGGAAATGACAAATGGCTTTTGTTAATTTTAAAAGAAACATTATGCCCAACCAAGGGTATATAGTGAATGAACAGGTGAAAGTCAAAATAAGTTTACATTTTGCCGTAATTCTTTTCAATTTTTTGAGTCTCTTTGCATGAAAGATAACTAACTCACGTGGCCCAAGAAAATTTCTGAAATGTTCATGCGTTCTTCGGTAGACCTGAATTTACCCGTAACATTCAATTTATAATAATAGTGGGCAGTATATTTGTATTTAAGACAGATCTTTTTCTTGAACATTTTTCCGTATCAACTGTTGGTCAATCACCATTATAACAGACACTATAATAGTCAATCGTCTGAAAATATATATTCAATTTAGCTGAATTTGACAATAAAAATGACGCATGTGTACAAAACCTATGTTTGATCTCTTATTTTCCTTACAAATAACCATAAAGTTTCTGTAAAATCGAAAAGTTGCTCACAGACCAAGTACCAAATAATCTAATAATCTAGATTGCTCCAGAAATTTTATATCTGCAGTTTTCTTAAATCAAAACTCTAGTTAGACAAACATTTTCCTTAAACAGTGACAGAACTGTGTTGATATTGTAGTGTCGGAAACATATTTATATCCTGTGTCTGGTATCATACAATGAAAGCAAGCAGTTTTTAAATACCCGAAGAATACCTGCACACTTAAACATGATTTTGTTACATAATATATTTATGAAAGAGGTGCATATTTTGTGTATTTCCAGTGTCAACGGTGTATCCTTTTTATCTTAAAAATCTCCGTTATAGTAGAAGTGGTAACTCTTTTGGTACTTGTTGTACACTGGAGGAATGTTCGAGAAATAAGTTTGGCTCCGAGACAACTAAAAGTGTGTTATCCACGGCATGAACTAGTTATAAGTGATGTCAGAAATACAACTTGTGGAAACAGACTAACATTTAAAAAAGACCCAAAAAATACAACATACTGTTGTGGCAACATGAGTGACGTTTTAATATTGGTCCTGGAAAAGGTAATCCAAACATATTATTATGAAATTGTTATTTACATTTTAATATTTGAGTAAATGAAGTATTATGATACTAACATACAATGTAGTTTTGATTGAAGCTTTTGATTCATATTTTAAACAATTTCCAACACTTTTAGATATTTCTTCTTTTAAATTATCAAACATTAAGCACCACCGTTTTCAAGATATCCAAATACTCTGAACAGCAAAATGCATACTTACAGTGTAACAAAACGTCTTTGACCAAGTAGTTTAGGTCAATGCTTTAAAAACACTTGTCCGTCATCGCTGTGGTTTGAATCATTACGCCATGGAGTATGGATTCGTTTATGTGAGGAAGCTATTCATATAGCTCAGGGAAAGTCAATGTTTATAATTAGGTGCCAGGTAAACACAAATGTCACCGACCCTGCTTCTTATCATTCACTAATTTTTGGAAAGGGTTATCAAATATATAAACGTGAGGTCTTAACCTTGAACCAAGTGACCTTAAAACTCCACTAAAACTTAAAGGATCCCATAAGGTATGTTCCCTCTAAATATGAGACATAAGTAAAAAAAAAAAGGCTGTATGAAAAATGTAAAAATGTATTGTAAGCACATGTGATTTTGACCTTGTGACTACCAACACTGGACTATCCAAGGAATGTTCCTTCCAAATATGAAAAATATAAATAAGTAAAGGCTGTATAAGAAAATGTTTAGAAATCTATTTTTGGCACACTTGACCTTGATCCACTGACCTCATACTCAATACAAAGGAAAAAATACCATACAAAGTTATTTAATTTCCCCACAAAATATGATAGACATCTATCGATTTGCTTTATGAGCAAAGAGTAAAAATCTATTAAGCACTGGTTATCTTGACCCAACTGACCCCTACTTCATCCAAAATTAGAAGACTTGCCAAGATATGTTCCTACTTAATATAAAAGTGACCTGTCAATAGATAAAGGTTACACCTGTTAAACTGTAAAAATCTATTGACATAGGTGCTCTTGACCGTGACTCAAATGACCCCTTAACTAATCTAAAGGATGGGGACCTCCTTGGGCATATCTTTTTTAAAATAAGTGCTGAATGAGCAAAAATGTTAAAGAAATATTATATTAACGATTTACTTTGACATTGACCTTAGTGACCCCTAACTTATCAAAACAAGTTTAAAGACCACTGAAAGTATCCACCTATTAATTAAATGGAAGATGTTATTTTATAAATTAAATGAAGTAATCTGGAGTTGCCGTCTTAATAGGTTAAGCATACAAACTAAATGAATGGCAACATCATAGATTTAGTTTTGATAAGACATGTAAGAAGGTGTGGAAATTATGAAGTCGTTAGTACTCATATACCTTAAGGTATATCCAACTTGCCGGTTTAGGTTAACTATGTCCATTTTCAAAGTGCTGAAAAAGGTATTAACATTAAAAGAAATTGCAGACATAGTAAAGATACGAACTTGCCAAGATCCTATACTTTGTATTGTCAATTTTTAATCCATAGGCACAGATAGAACTTAAGATAACTACAACATGCTTATTTAGGGTGAGACGAAAAGACAGACGGACATATCAAATGCTATATGCCCGGGATATAAAAGCGCCATTTTCTTTCTGGAAAAAGTAAAAGTTCATCAGCAAAAATTTCGAAATAGCAGCGTGACATTCATTTTGATTGTTATTAATCAAATATATTGTGATGTGTCGTGATCATAATCATGATGATATGTATCACTACATATATATGTTGCATTCAATTGCAGGACGTTTGTAATTTACAATGGAAATAATTCATTTCAGATTGCTTCAGAAAGATACGATAGCGACATTAACCCAGGTAAAAATTTTAAGATACATTAAAATGTATCATCATTTGTTTTTGAATCTAATAATTCGAGCATTAACAGAACTCCTGCGCAACAAACTGATAACCACAATATAAAGCTTTGATAGACATGTAATAACTTGAAGTAGTGTTGATCATTATTTATTGAACATTTGATGTATTTATAGGACAATTCAGTTGTTTCAGGAACAAAATATGTTTAAATGTCTCATTTTACAGAAATGATATTTTTTGACCTGACGAATTTTGGCTGTGCATCGTCCAAACATGTAGTGTCAACGCTTAGGCTTACTTCTGCACCGGAAAAGTCATTAGGTAATGTTTCTTTTTGATATTTGACAAACAGTTTTATCAGCACCAATAATATATAGTTTTCAAGTTTCGGTAAAGTTAGTTAAAACCCTTTTAATTTGTCTGAAGTTTTGTATTGAAATTAATTGACACGTAATGATATTTACCGAAGAATATTATGTTATCCTTTCGCAGTTCCGGTAGGCATTCACTACAAAATGTCCCTAAAGATTGATTCCTCGTCAGTTGCAAATTCCGGACTTAGATATTTGGAAACAGAAGACATGGTGTTGATTGAGGCAACGGCCTTTTTCTACATTTTTTCACAGCTGAAAATAAAAATTGGGAATACTTTTGATAATAATATTGTACATTGTGTACAGTTATTATCTAGTAACGGCACAACATCTGTTCTGCTTGAAGAATTAACTTCACCGTGTAAAATGGCATCTGAGGAGTCATCAGAGAAGACCAGCACCATTGGAGCTACATTTTGGCTAACAGAAGGAGATCGAGTGTATGTGACCACATCTCATCCTCAAGAAATTATAAATCATTTGAGCATATTCAAGTTGTAGGCATGTTCACAAAAGTAAAACATGAGATTACATGCATTTTGATTATAACATTATACATGTCACATCAATCCTTCTTTCATTCTCTAAATGAATTCAAATTTAATAACCAAATTTTAACTTTCGTTGTTATGTTGATCAACTCTTTATGATAAAGAAATGATTATTAAAAAAATAAAAATCAATTGACCTTATATACCAGTAAAAACAAGGTACCTAAGTTTTAACAGGTAAAGAGGGTCAATTTATTATCACTATTGTTTAATTATTTGGATATCATAAAGGGTTTATTTAGGATTTTTTTTTTTTTTCGAAAAAAAAAAGTTTCACTTTTAAAGGGGTGGGTAGGGTAACCCCAATACTGCCCTTTTGTGCCACCAGTGTTATGCATGCAAATTTGGACAAAAGAAGGACCAGAAGACCAACCGGAACATGCTGACGATAACAGTAACATTTTTTTTGTAAAAACGAATTTTTTTTTTGTCAAAAACGATTTGAAATCTATTGTATAAAACTAATAAAGAAAATAATCAATCGTAAAAATATTATCATTGGCTCTCCCACGTGGAGGAAATAAAAGTATCTATCTATCATACTGAAGGGAAACAAGTGCACATTTCATTTTTCACTTTTTTCGCAGAAAGAGTCATTCGTTTTGGCAGTTGCTAAATTTCACAAGTAAATGCACTAAAAGGTATCAATTAATATGCATGTACATTGTGTATCAACTATGTTACACCTAAAATTTTTATGTCACTTGTATATACCGACAACACAGGATGCGCTATCTGTAGGTCATCACGTGGTAAGGTTAATGATATGCATGGGCTATTTTTAGAAAGACAAAAATCAATCATAAAAGAAACAAACTTTTGCGTCTTGAAAACGAATTGAAACGGAACATTTTCGTTTATAATTTATTTCTTCCTTCTACTTACGCTTTAAACCGATAAATCAAGTAAAACTAGAAATGCTATTTATAAGAACAAACAAGGATTACCGAAGTAACTAAAAATAGCTTAGATTTCCGTAATATTACTTCGTCTGATTCCGCAGTATGACGGAATCGCTCGAATTTTCACGATTGCAGCTAAAGCCTAGACTGGATTCCCGTTCCACCATGCACTAACAAATGTAAGCAGAAAACCACCTAACCGGAACAACATTTCCAAAACAAATGGCCGCTGTGGCCGCAAGCCAAAACACTTTGCCTTCGAACATTTGATTTTCAAATTGTTAACAATTTACAAGTTTTGGTAATTTATTTCGTGACTCAGTAGTATCATTCAAAGACAGACGTTTCTGAATTAAGTTATGTATGACACAGAAAGCCTCGCCAACAAATTTTGGTTGTTTTTGTCATTTCTGTTAATAATTCTGTTTGATGTTTTAAGAATAGTATATTTTGTGTCATACATAGTTAAAAGGTGTGTCAAAGTACAGTTAATAGCATCGTTATTATAATCAGAAAACACATGAAAATGTGCGATTGTTTGTCATGAACTTTACAAAATATTATGTACATTGTGAATATGACTTTATAACATTAACCGCGGCACAGACTTATAATAAAGCCATTTAAAAAAAACGATATTACACTAATGTAATAACACTTTGTGCGTTATAAATAAAAAAGCGTTGTTAAAGCGCTTCAATGTTAGGTGCGTCATTGAATAAATACTCTTTTTAACAGCTTACCAATTCTTGTTTTATATATGTGAAAAATTAGAATATTATATTCGTGTAGATTCAATACTAAATATATTGAACTTGTTGAATAAACAATATTATGCTCGCCAGTGTCGCATAATATGATTTTATTCAACAAAATTTAGTGTTAACCCTACACTCATTCAATGTCCTCAATTTATTGCACTTTCTAGAATAAGAAGTGACAGGTTAGTCTTAAGTCTTCAACCTTTAATTCGACAACCATGACATAAGGCTAACAATCGAGTATAGAGCCGTATGTGATGTAGAATAATCATGACTGTATGAATTATGTCAAAAAGATATCATTATATAATAATTGTGCGATATATGCACGAGCGCGTTTTATTAAATTTGTTATTATGTTTAAAGAAATTGTTAAACAGAGTTTATCTCTTGTTCCTATTCATAAACATGTTAGGAATATGCGCCGGTCTTGTCCAATTTAGTTTTGTAAAAACATACTAACGAACCCTAATCAATGCATAATTGCCATCAGGTTTAAGTGCAGACGTTTTGTATAGCACTATTATGAATGATTATTAAAGATATTTTTCTTCGTAACCAAGAAAACATTTACCAAGGTAGCCCATATCGCAAGGATATCAAAAGGGTCAACTCATGCGATTGAAAATTTTGTTCACTATTTAGGGAGTAAAGTGTTAAAGCGGCCAAAAAGCATAGTCGGTAAAGCCGCGTTACGGTATTCCGAGGGTCCCGGGTTCAAGTCCCGGTCAGGCTGCACAATTTTCTCACCCTGTAACATTTAGCGTGCGTGTGTTTGTGTCCAAATGCCTGTTTCTTGTGGCCGTCCTGTCACATCCAAGTATTATAGAGACGTCCTGTTCAATTAAGTTCATCTTTTGTCTGGTATCAAGGACGTTGCATATCTACCCGCAATACTATAAAATCTAAAGCAAGATACAATTATATCGAATTACCATTGACACATAAAGAAAGACATTTCCTTAAAGATAGCCATACACTATTCGATTAAAATTCATTATGCCTGTGTAATCATATTTAATTTTTTCTTATCATCAATTTAAAATGGTTTACAAAATGTGCATGTAAAAAGGAATGAACAAGTTACACTTAAGGAGAAAATAATGTCAGAAAAAATCACCCATTAAAACTAATTTTCGTAAAGGTGTGCATAGAAAAGGTACCGTATAAGTACTTTTTTCTGCGGGAACTTTATTTCTGCTATTTCTGCGGTTTGTTACGACACCGCAGATTTAAAAACCGCAGAAAATTAAGCCAGTCAGTCAGTCAGTTTAAGTTTATTTATACTCGGCGCCGGTATAACCATCTGTCCGAGAATATAGCATCCTTGCCGGTCCACTAAGGTAGTCACATCGGGGACGTCTTTGTCAAGCTGAATCTTCCTGTAGCCTATTCTTCGTTCGTTGGTGGTAGAGGAGTACGACAATACTGGCCAGGCATCAAGTTCCCTACTGACGATAACAAAAACGGCTCTCATTAGCGCCAACCCTCCAGAGTTAGTCACGACAGGTCAACCAATCACCTCTGGTACTTAAGATGACTTGACCTTGACCTGCCGCGTGCCTTCTCCGCGACGTGCACGCCTCTGGAGGGATTTGGAGAAGAAAATTAAGCCTTTCTCGGCTTTGTTTATGTATACATGTGTTGAAATTTCAGCTACAGGTAATGTCTAACTACATTACCTAACCATTATCATGTATCGTAATCGGCTTTTAATGGTATAAGTAGATTTTTCTTTCTGTCATGAATAAAAGATTATAAAAAAATCGTTAATTTGCTTGTTATTTTTGTTAAAATAAATATCATATGGTGTGATTTTCGCTCACTCTAAGCTTGAATTATTTAATATAATAAAATGACTAAAGTATATGGAGGTTGAAGGTGCTAAACGAGTCGAAATCTCAGGCTTTAGAGACAAACGACAATTCACTACCGTATTTGCTGGTACACTGCAAGGTAAATCTAAATTTTCTCTGCCGAATATTTTATATAATTAAATGCTTGATAAAACATATATTTTTTATCATTGCAAATAAATATTAAAATTGTGTTAGAAAAAATGTGTTCATGTGCAGTGTATATCGTTGTTAATACCGCTGTTTTTCAGTTTAAAATATATTTAACAACACTGTTATCAAAAACGTGATAAAATGACCATTGTTTGATATTATCATTAAAACCTGCAATAAACACGCTTTTATGTACAACTATGTTATGTGCGAATTTGCCAGTGTGTATTTTTCACGCTTACCTGTGAATGTCCACTTAAGCGAAATGATCGAAATTCTTTTATTCAAATTGTGTTGATTTTTTTTTCTTACAGGCGAATTTCTTCCGCCGCAAATAATCATCACTGGTAAAACAACACGTTGTTTACCAAGCTATAAGTTCAGGTATTCATGTTGAAAGACACGAACATTTGCAAGTTTTTTCCATAGATTCTTTTCAATGTATATACATGCATAATTTATCTGTTGTGAGAGGAATATAATGAATATATATATAATGAAAATAAGGACTATAATGAACCTATAAGATAGTAAAATACATGAATGCTTCAAATTTATACACAGACAGTATTAAATTTGTTGTCATTGTATTTTGTTGTTCTCTTTTTCTTAATATTTACGTAATACCGATATATAGTGTATATATACCGATACATGATGATTACAACGAAACACATTATCAGTCGTCTGCATTTACTGGAAGTAATGACACATCAACAAATCTTGAAATGCTGTTTATTTTTATTGGTTAATTGTGTACAAATATCATGATTTAAACGCAGAAATAAAACACTTGAATGGGAGAATGATGGTACCGCATAAATAAGAAATGCAGAAATTTAAGACCCCCAATTTTAACGAAAATCGCAGAATTTTAAGACCGCAGAAATAAGTACTTATACGGTATTTCAAAAATACAATAATTGTATGAAAATGATATGGCCCTAGTTCTTTTATGATTATTTCTAAATACTTAAATGAGGGATAAATACAGTGTATAAGTGTACATTTTCAAACATTGTAATATTGACATGTTTAGCTATACAGATATAAAAATTTAAAATTTACATCAAAAGATGACTTGGCAAATTGGACTGATAAATGGAGATTAAATTGAAAATAAGTACCTGACGTACAGGTATAGTTTATTATTCAAATAAAATGATCTCAAAGTACTGAAAAGCTATAATTGTAAACATTTGCATTATGGATCTTGACATATATATTCACTTCTTAAGCAAGTTGACATTTAATTTATTTTATTCCACATTGAGTAGAATCTTAAACGCAAATTGAATTGATAAAATATCTTTAAAAATGTGTTGTTTCTGAGGCATAATGTGCTTTTAAAGTTATGGATACAAAAGGGAAAGGAAGTTAAAGTAATAT